AATGTGAAAGGTTTAGAGACAAGAATGTTAATGAAAGGGTAGAATTTGGATCAAGGAAGAAGTTGTGTAATGTGTCTAAAAGCGAACCACATAGCAAGAAACTGTCGAGCACCGAGGTCATGTGCCGTCGAAGGATGTGGTTGGAGGCATCATACGTTGTTACATAGGAAACGGGAAGAGCAAGGAGATAATAATAATAATGCACACATCAACACTCAGCTTTGTACGGAGGAAGTCGTTAAGTGTATACAGAGACCAGTAGCGTTTGCAGTAGTGCCTTTATGAATAAAAAATGGTGAGAAAATTATTCATACTTGCGCCTTTCTAGATAGTGGGTCAGATACCTCTCTTATAGTTGATGACCTAGCTGATAAGTTAGGCCTCGAGGGGAAACCAAAAACGGTATCTTTAAAGACTCTTAGTAATGAGTCGTCATTGTTATCCAAAGAGGTCGATGTAGAGTTGCAGTCGATAGATTTGTCGTCATCCGTTAAGGTCCAGAAAGTATTGACAGTCAAAAAATTACCGGCGGTTTACAGGACTGTGCCAACGGCGCAACAAATGGTATCCTGGTCCCATTTAAAAGACATAAGTTTCCCGAGAGTAGAGGATGAGAACGTCAAACTGTTGATCGAGTGCAACGCACCGGGTGTACACGAGATGAAAGAGATAACAACCGGGAAGACGAATAAACCATCTGCTGTGAGGAGCATATTGGGTTGCAATCACTACTGTTTCAGAAGGTATTGATGGATGAATCTTCGGGAGACTGTGTTAGTAAACGATGTTGGCTCACCGAGAAGTCTATGGCCCAAATCTATTGTCGAACAAGTAAGCTATGGCTCTGACGGACAAGTTCGTACGGCAAAATTGAGAACCGCAAACGAAGAAACTGTCCGGGACGTACGAAGCTTATGTCTACTAGAAGGAGCCGGCTGTCTGACGGCGACGACGACCCTGGACAATGGACGTGTTTCGGGGAGAGTGTAAAATGTGATTGATAGACGAATCCACCAATAATAAAGTGGAACGCCCACCACCACATTAACTCCCTTTGACCTTGTGCGACTGAATCTCTTCATTAACCAATCGCAGTTTGATGTTGATTGTAAAACAATATTTGCTTTGTTGACTCATTTTTTCTATTCTCTGGCTACTGTTCGGTGTGTTATTTGTCTCTGTTTTTCCCTGTATTAATAGACCGTACTGTTTGTTTGTACACTAACGATGTTAATTTATGTTTTAGAAACAGATAAAGTTTATCTAGCCAAATAGCTTGCTTGTTCTGACTTTGGCCAAACCAAGACTCTGTATTTGACGGTCTAGGGAATAGCTCAGAATTAAACCTGTAGGAAATTAATGAGAAGGTCAAACTGTTGATCGAGTGCAACGCACCGGGTGTACACGAGATGAAAGAGATAACAACCGGGAAGATGAATGAACCATCTGCTGTGAGGACCATATTGGGTTGGACACTGTTCGGCCCTTACGGAGAACCCCGTGAAAGCAACCGTGTACTGAATTGCCTCTCGGTTAAGGAGAAATTAGAGGATAAGTTTGAACAATTGTATTCAACTGAATCCAAAGACCCACTTAGTCGTACTTCATCGATGTCTGTGGAAGATCGTATAGCATTATCAGAATCTGCATATGGTGTTGCGGAGTATACTCGTCCCGAAAATGTCTCTCGTCAAGTTCATTGTTCCTTTTTATTAACTAAGTACAAGGTTGTTAAGTCAAAAACTGAAGCACCATCTGCTAATAAACCCAGATCAACTCTAAGAAAGCCTAAGGAAAAGAAGGACACCAAACTGAAAGTCAAGATTACGAAAAGGCCGAATGCCACTGTAACGAAGAAGCCAGTAACTAAGACCCTGAAGAAGCAGGTAGCACATATTCGCCGTGGTATCGAGGATGGTGTTGAGAAAGGCGCCCTTGTACGAGTTGTGAACAAGAGTAAGGGTGCATCTGGTAGTTGTACAGAAGCCAATGCTATTCTTAGAGAGATCATATGTAGTTGGAACCAGAGTAAGACAGTAAATGCCCTTTTAGAGAGAGGTTGTGAATGGCGCTTTAAACTTCCGAGGGCTAGTCAACGAGGCAGTGTATGGGGACGCATCATAAAGTCAATAAGAAGAATTCTGCGATCACTATTGTTTCAGAAGGTATTGATGGATGAGTCTTCGGGAGACTTATTGTTAGTAAACGATGTTGTCAGTTCAGAAAACTTTGGTAAGGCAAAACACATTGAAATCGACACATTAAATACAACATAACAAAATTTGCTTGATGTCAAACATTCTCTGATTTGAAATTACTAAGGTCGATCATCACAGAGATTTGTGTTAGATTGATGGATTAAGACAAAATAAATACGTCACAAAAACGAAATTACAAACGATCATATAAAATTTTCCTTTAGTGTTCTATTAAGTATCCATAATGCATCAAGTGTGATTGTCTGTAACTGCAGATGATCATCATACATGAATTCCACAATCTTTAAAAAGTGTGTTACTTATTATAAGAAATCACTGTTCAAATAAATAATAAAGACCAAATAAATATGTAAACCTGTTAATTCCATCGAAGCACACAAATATAGAAACTGTCGCGTTAAAAGATTCAAGGGATAAACAGAAACCGGGAACAAATGTTACAATGATTGAGAGAATGCGATTGCAATAATAAATACAGTAAATGTTTTGGGTTTATGTAGATACACAAGAATATTACAAATAAACGTTACACTATACGTTCAGAAATTACTAAAAATGAAACTGACTACTGAATATTAACAAGTACTATAAGAGAATATCAGTCAGTCCCAACGTAGAACTTCGCACGTACGTTCATCAGTTCGAGTTGCCACACCACATTAGCACAGAGATGTAGTGGTCGATTCAAATCCCGTAGTGCTAGATGTAGTAAGATTATAAGCTGTAATCAGAAAAAATAGGGCTTGAAGATGTTATTCAAGGACTATAATCCAGTGAAGTAAATTTGGAAAGAGAAAAAAAGGGACATGAAGAAATCAGAAGATTAGCATTTGAGAGAACACAAAGAGTGGATGAACATGCGCCATTGCAAACGATTTTGAGCCATGTCATTCAGGGTCTCTAACCATCGGTTGCTATCATCTCGTGGTCCCCAACCAGGTAGTCTACACCTACCAACATGACTCAGTCCACTTGTCAGTGACTTCATGAACTTTTGCCATGTTTTGGTCTGGCCGCCCCTAGCTTTCTTCCAACCTACCCCTATACCACTGAACATAGCACGTCGAGGTAGTCGGTCGTTGGGCATACGTAACACGTGTCCCAGCCATCTCAACTGATGAAGTTTCATCACTTCATCAATGGATTTGCCATCCTTACCTAGTACCCGTTCCCAAACAACTGCATTACTTACTCGATGGTCCCAGGATATACGAGCAATGCTTCGAAGACACCTATGATCGAATACTAGTAGCCTATGAATATCCTCTACTCTTACCGCCATGTTTCACTGCCATAAAGTAGGACGGAACGAACTGCTGCGCAGTAAACCCGTCCTTTGGTTGATAGACGGATATCTCGCCTACGCCATAAATGACGCAAGATGGCAAAAGCTAGTCGAGCCTTGTGTATCCGTGCTGAGATTTCGTCACACACCAGACCACAAGGGCTGATGAGACTTCCAAGATAAGTGAAGCGGTCGACAGGCTCAATTACTTCACTCTCTATCACTAGTTCGGGTGTCGATGTAACCCAATCCTGAAGCAACATTTTGCATTTCGAGGTGGAGAATCGCATCCCGAACATGCTTGCATTGTTGCTTAGAGGGGTCAGAAGACTGCATTTTGTCAGCGTCTTCACCAAATAAAACTATGTCATCAGTATATTCTAAGTCAACAAGTGAACCTCCCGGTAGAAGTTCAACCCCTGGAAATCTAGACGAGGAAAGTCTTATGTCTAAAAGTACGTCGACGACAAAGTTAAACAAGACTGGAGAGATTGGACAACCTTGACGAACACCACTTGAGGTAATCAATTCTGATGACAGTTCGCCATAAGCTCTCACTCGACCAGTTGTGTTCGAGTAGAGAGCCTTTACAAGGTTAATGTACTTCTTTGGTACTCCTTTCAGTGACAAACACTGCCATAGAACCTCACGATCAACAGAGTCGAATGCCGCCTTAAGGTCGAGAAATACTATTATTGTGGGGCGTCTGAATGTGTGTCTGTGTTCTAGGACCTGGCGTAGTGTGAATATCTGATCTATACAAGTGACTTAGATGTCAAGGTAGTAAAGACAGGACTTGATACATGAAGCCCGTAATTCATGATAATATAGAGCATTTACCAACGACGAGACTATAATTTGTGGACGAACCAATCACATTTACGATGGTGAGTCTTGAATTTTGGCGCGAAATCCATTCATTTATATGGCTAAATAGCATTCTAGCGTTATAGATGACGTCAGTTCGTGATGAAAATCCTTACTCTAATTCCTAACCCTAACTTCTAATTATAGATCCCGATTCTGATTTATTACACTAATTTATAGCTCTTTTTAATCCTAGTAAGCAGACGACATTTTTCAAGCTCATATTAGCGCCGCTCAAGGCGGGTCCATGAATTAGTCTTACAAACGAACCTTAAAAACTACGATTTCGAAGACTTTCGATTACAGACACTTGAGTTGTACAATAAGTAGTATACCTAAAAATAATGAAATATGAACTTTTTCTAAGGGAAAACGAGTTACGGATAAAAGACCCATACTAAAATCTTATAAGTAGCATACATGCGATAAGCAACGTTGATCTAGTACTTTGAGAATGGTCATTAGACTATATGTGACACAGTTATCACTCCTTGTTGAAAAGTAGTCAATATACGTAAACTTGTTAGCAGTTTTACAAATGAACATATTGCAAAAATTAAGTCCATTTCGGTCTACTGATTCACCTGAAGTCACGAAAAACCTAACAGGAACTCAGAATTTCCCAAAAGCCATAATCAGTTTTATGTGAATAATTTAAATTTTCTATACATATATTTACCTTGAATTCCTTGTAAAAGAAAAAAACAGAAACAGTTAATCTAGTGTTACTTCACCATAAATGCGATTCCCATCGTAAATATCAGCGCGATTATAACTCAATAATCAACATATTTGATACCTCCATATGGCAATTTCCAAGACATCCATGGATTTGTGAACGACTTACAGCTCAAATACATCCAACATCTTCATGTGACAGCCTACCACCATTTGTTTAATCTGCAATGTGAAGAATATTCCTCGTAATAGATTTTTCATGCGATTTGCTGATAAATTAAGCAATCAGAAACGATCCCCTATTGTGCGAGAATGTTAACCCGCTACACCTATTCCTTGAAAAATACTTTGCCGTTTTTTCTAGTGAACTAATCTGGGATTAGAACTTTACATTCACGAAACCCTTGAGTTTTAAAACATAAGTTCACCGATAATTGATTTATATTTCAACGAGTTAAATGTTTCTTTCACTGACAGAAACGAATAAAGCTGTCAACAATGCTATTTATCCTCAAAGTTATTAATTATAAACTAATTTACGTAGAATCGTTACAAAAAAACATTTTATACTCGATCTAGAGTCTTAAGTTTCGAAATTATATCATCAGCTGTGTTATTTGCCACTGAAATGCAGTCTTCCTTCCCCATCTCTATAATAAGAAAGTAAACATTAACAAATTAGTTAAACTAACCATAACGAGCGAACACTTTTGGTGTGATCCCTTCTGATTCACGAATCATAAACTTCACATGAGGATTAGCAGTTTTTAGAGACAGATAGTGACGTGAAATAAAATCCCTGTAAGTTTACAGAAAAATGAGGACTGTAGATTATTTAAATAAACCTTGGCAACTTATAAAAATGATTTTATTGTCCCATAAAATCGATTCCATAAGAAATATATTCATATATTTTAGACAGATATAGCTCTTATGGTTTGTGTGAAATTAGCTTAACGAACAACATTTCTATGTAGCGGTGATCAAAATACTTCAGAGGATAATAATAGCTATGATCAATGAGATGGACGACTTTATTATTGGATAATATAGTATCTCAGCATATCACTGAAGGAATGTATAAAACGCAGTTTATGGTTTTACTGTTGACATTTTCTATAATAAGAGTATGAATACATCTGCGCACCCCTAACAAGCCAACGCTACAAAGAACCTTGATACTCAAATAAAGCATTCATTGATAGGGGAACAATAACTTCGCACGGTTTAAAATCGTCAGTAAATACGATTGAATGAATTTTCTAGTTAATTATGCGTAGAATCAAGATGGCTTAGATAAACAGACCACATGACTGACGAGGATATACTGTGGATTGTTATCCAATCTAACACTTCACGGTTGTAGGGAGGATTAGACAAAGTGAAAGACGACGTATAATAATCCGTTAGCTGCATTGTCGATTTCCAATATAAATTTATATCAAGTTCATTAATATTAGTGTTGTGGTAGCAATCAGACTTGATTTTCTGAAAGCTTAAAATTGATAATTCATCATACGTACGAACGAAAGTTATCATTTATATGTAATGTAGAACCTAACACATACGTGTGTTGGTTCAAGTTCCCGCACCTGATTACCACCGCAAGCTATATTTATTATGACAAACCCCACAGAAGTAAAAGTAGTAATAGTACGAATGGTAGCAGAAAAGACTAGGTGTAGGAGAAAATAGAGATATAACAAAACTTTGAGGTCCGGAAACTTAGGAAAGATTAAATGAATATACCTGAGCCCTTGTGCAAAATTTTAGACCATATCACCTAAAGTCCCTAAACACTGGTTAGGATAATCACCCACACCTTAAACTAGTGGTCTTTAGTGTTTTAATGTTATTTACCTGGAAACTACAATTAAAATCTAGCTAACACTCTCTACTCGAACACTACCAGTCGAGTCAGAGCTTATGGCGAACTGTCATCTGCTTTTGCAACCTCAAGTGGTGTCCGTCAAGGCTGTCCACTTTCTCCATTTTTGTTTAACTTCATCATAAACCTATTGATGGAAATAACATTCTCGTCTACTGAACTCTCGGGTATTGATCTCCATCCAGGAGGTCCACTTATCGACTTAGAATACGCAGATGACATAGTCCTGTTTGGTGAAGACGCTGATAAAATGCAGAGTCTTTCGGTAGCACTAAGCAACAATGCCAGAATGTTTGGAATGCGCTTCTCTCCCTCTAAATGCAAGTTGTTGCTTCAGGACTGGTCTGCGTCAACACCTGAACTAAGGATAGGGAGTGAAGCAGTCGAACGCGTTGATAACTTCACTTATCTTGGAAGTCTGATCAGCCCTAATGGGTTGGTGTCTGACGAAATCTCAGCACGGATTCGATAAGCTCGTTTGGCTTTTGCCAACTTACGTCGCCTATGGCGAAGGCGAGATATCCGTCTATCAATAAAAGGACGAGTATACTGCGCGGCAGTCCGTTCTGTTTTAATTTACGGCAGCGAAACATGGCCATTAAGAGTAGAAGACACTCTTAAGCTACTAGTATTCGACCACAGATGCCTTAGAAATATTGCTGGCATCTGCTGGGATCACCGGGTAAGTAATACTGAGGTTAGACACAGGGTATTAGGGATTGATGGCAAATCAGTTGATGAGGTTGTGAATCTTCATCGACTGAAATGGTTGGGCCACGTGTTACGTATGCCCGAACACCGACTACCACGACGCGCAATGCTAACCGGTGTTCGGGATGGTTGGAAGAATGTTAGGGGTGGCCAAACCAAAACGTGGCGTCAGTGCTTGAAGTCACTAACTTCTAGTCTGAGTCATGTTGGGAGATGCAGACTACTTGGTTGGGGTCCACGTAACTATCGTAACCAATGGTTGGAGACTCTTGGTGACATGGCTCAGAATCGATCACAATGGCGTCGGTGTATACACTCTTCAATTTCCCTTAAACTAAGAGATTAAAATCGCTTCATATCTTTCTTTCTACGAACTAATTCTTTCTTTCTGTACTATATCCTTATTGCAATCTTCCTTTTATATATTACCACCTCTGAATTAACTACTTTTATGAATCCGGTGTCTATCTTGTTGTGTTAATGAGGTATGGCAACCTGGACCGATGCATATATGTGCCTGGTCCTATGTTGCAGCTGACTGACAACACTCACACCAACACAATACTGTTAACAAAAAGACTACATCGCGATTGACTATTACTAAGATAACCGACAAAATTTTATTATTTCTGACATATAGTTTGGGATTCCTACGATTATACTATACAATTACATCTCCGGATTTAAGTGGATATAAAAATAGTACAGTATGATCTTCAGGTTCCTCTCAAGAATGAATGAGTCAATGGTATATTTAAGGAAGAACTCATAACTCACTTTCTACAACGCGAAAGTGGCCATTTTGAGATATCGTGTTATAATATGCACTATTTTGTAAAAGTGGTAGTAAAGTACGTAGCCAATCTAAACCAAAGGACTAGGATTATAAGACGAATGTTAGCGATTCATTTCTAATCAGTATGTACTCACAAACTGGCCTACATTATCATAGCGGTGAAGAAAACCAAGGTACATGCAGATTTGCAAAAAGTTTACAAATATATGAAAGTCTTTTCACTATTCAAACCGAACTCATACTTCGGATTTTCGACTGCTTAAACATGTAAGCATAACCGAATTGCTGCTTCAATCATCAACGTGAACAAAAAGTTCAGTTATTGCGGAAAGGTGACTAAACTCTACTTACTCAAGTATGGAACTTTACATTTAAATGTAAAGTTCATCGACCACATAAATCTATCTAGTCGATGAAAAATCAAATTAGCGGATGAAAATGCCCGGAAAATAAAGATGGGTTTTGGACAAAACTGCAGTTAACAAACCTAATTCCAGAGCTCGAAGGAGCAGTCTGAGCAACGAGAAATCGCAGTTCCCTAACCTTGGCTCCAAACCTAGCCATAACGCAAAACCCGAAACACCGCTCCGATGTCCGTTCAATCTCCAAATTGTTCCCATCAATCCTCAACTTAAGAGTAGAGGGCTGTGTAGTCCAGATGAAAAGGATATTTCACTTGGTATTATTCTTGTTTGTGTATAAGAACAGCTGTAACTTCATGGTTCTCTGAAGAGTTCCGGCTGTTAGTAATTTGGGTGTAATAGGACGGTCAACCTACTCAATCGCTACTGCAAGTATTGCTGTGGAGATTCAATTTATACTTAGTGTTGTTTGATAACAACTCGCCTGTGAGTGAAAGTTCAGCTACTGATCGTTTGATAAAATAGAGAAACTTATGAAATATAATGTTATCGTTAGTTCGTTCTTATCGATAATATAATATATAGGTTTGCAATAAAGGAATTTAAATGATCCTTCATATCGGTTTTCTAGGGGTTGGCGTAAGGTATTGCAACACTCAAAATCTTTGGCACGAAGTCGTAAGGTGGGTAAGACGAAAACATCAGTTGACTGCTGTCGAGTGAAAATAGGTTTAACTGGACCCCATTCCGAGGAAACCATCCTTGTTAAAAAACGCGAACTAGAATTAACAAATTAAACCATTTAAACTCTCTTCTGTGAGTTCAAGGGAGAGCTATGACGCCTCAGTGTTAAAACAGAGATTCTTCGGAAGTCATGAGGACGATGCCCCTTCTGACAATCAGAGCAACAATTTCTACAGGTACGTAGAATATCCGGACAATGTGAGGGACCGGGAGGACTAGTAAGTAGCAACCGAAATGAGGAAATACAGCTTGGCAGTGTTCGGAATTAGCGAAACCCATCGAACCCAAGTTGGACAGCTAAGGCTGAATAGGGAGAGATTCTGCTGTACTCTGGTGACGAGGAGGGAAATGCTCCACACACTCAGGGAGTTACTCTAGTGCTGTCCAGAGAAGCACGTAATGCACTCACAGGATTGCAATCTCGTGGATCTAGGTCTATCACATCATCCTTCAAAAGAAAGAAGGGAATCACGATGAATGTTATGAAATGTTATACACCTACTGATAATAGCAGCGATGATGATATAGATCAGTTTAATGAGAGGATGCTATCGATAATAGAAAAATACCCGGGAAAAGACCTGATCGTCCTGACGGAATACGTGAGAACCAGGAGAGGAGCTGACATAGCTTCAGATCAACACCCGGTTCTGGCCAAGATGTGACACTGGACAACTGGGAGAACAGCATTACAAAGGTTCAATACAATCTTCCTTTGAAATACTTACAAACTCGACGAATTTAAGATAACTCTCAAAAACGGGTCCAAGCCTTACAGGATCCACTGAAAGAAGGAGAAACCACCATGGAGGACAACTGGAAAGGTACCAAAGAAGTGTTAACTTCAACGTGTCATGAGGTGCTGGGCCGCAAGAAGCATCATCATAAGGAACGGATCTCTATAGAAAACCTTCACATGATTCAAGAAGGGAAGGACGAAAAGACAGTAATTAACAACAGCCAAACAGGAACAGAGAAAATCAAGGCACAAGCTAAATACACGGAAGCAATTAGGAAAGTGTAGAGGAACATTAGAGCCGACAATAAAAAAGACCTAGCAACGCCAGCAGAAATAGCTGCAAGAGAAGTAAATATGAAACAACTATATGACACAACGTAGAAATCACCAGAGATATATAGTAAACCAGAATGACCAATCAAGGGTAAATAAGGTAAGTCAATCTTTGAGATTCAAGGAACGGATGGGTAGAACACTTTGATAACGTTTTGAATAGACATGCCTCACTGATCCTAGATCTGTAGAATTATGGTCTACTATGATATTAGTACTGCTCTAATAATAGACCTAATCCTAAAATTGTAGATTTGTCATGATATAACTGCCTAATCTATAAGATCTTACGTGGAAGTCACATCATCGTCTACACCAACTTACTGTATCGTAACAACTACCAATACATGATGAAAAACAAGCTTAGGCTAGAGAAAGAACAATATGTTTAATATGAATAAAAGATATGAGGTAATATCAGCAGGGACCACGCCTGAATGGCCGAGCCATGCCATTCGATCAACACCAATTCATTCAATTCATTGTTCCCGCCGTTTCCATCGTTTGGTATTTCTCCGCGTTAAATATTGAATATTTATTTTCCGAGCAATTTTGTGTTCAACTTTGAAGATTGTGTGGTTATGGTCCAATGCCACTACAGACCCATTAAATCCACCGGACATTGGAGCAGCACCTTCAGACCTTCATATAGATGTCACTCCACCAACGACGGGGAAGCTAGGATGACCATCAGATAAATAAAAGGGGGAAGGCAGCAGGACCTAACAATATACCAGAGGAAGCATCGAGGTCAGACATAGAAGTAACTGCAATCATGCTCGACATTGTATTCAGAAAGATTAAGGAGGAAGAATAAGTGTCGACAGGCCGGATACAATCAACAACAATCTACTGTGAAAGAGGAAAAACCAACTTCCAGCTGAGTAGGAGATTAGGAAAAGACGTTAAAAGTGGATAGGACATACGTTATGGAGATCATCAAACTGCATCACGAGGCAAGTCGTAACACGGAATCCTGAAGGTAAAGAGCAAGGCCGTAGAACGCACTTCACTGAAAATTGGAAGTAGACATGAAATTGAATACGCGGCAAGCCACGAAATCAGTTAAGGCACTAAAACTCAAACCTTATGAAGAGTGTCTGTGATTACTAGACCCTTAGCCATTAGAATATAGGCGTCTCAGAGGTGACATTTTAACGACTTATAACATCTTAAACACTCCTGCGTATCCTATTAATTATCTACTTAAGCTCAGGGCTAACATCATGACATCATGGCACAATTGACTGTGAGCACTCCTTTCACCCTTTACAAGTAGTCGAATTCTGGAATTTGCTGCCGACTGAAGTAGTTTGAGCGACCTCGCAGGAGTTCTTTAAGAGGAAACTTGACATATTCTTAAGGGCTCAGGACTGTAACTCACTATAATTTACTAATATGTTCCTTCTTATCGTAGAATGTACCTAGGTTCCAGCCACGAGGCATCGGTGATCCACTACTACTAGATACGAAAGCTCACTAAACGAAAGCTTCTCTACTTCCGTCTAGAACCATTTGAATAATTTGGAATACCCTCGTGGAGATATCCACGACAACCATCCCTATCTCCACACCCTCCCCGTACAATAGGTATTGTGGTGGACCAGACAAATATGAACGCGAAAAGTATCAACAAAGTTGCTAAAGATCAATAGTAATATTAATATATACCAGTTAATTGTTACAAATACAATAAAAATTTGGGACTTTACTTAAATTCACCAAATGTTGCGTGTTCTGATTAGGTCCGGTATTGTAAATCCTCAATCATAAATGCTTGGTAATTCTGATCGGGTTGGCGGACTCTCCAGTGATATAATCCGACGTAGGATGTGATATACTCCAATAACAGTCTATAAATGTAGATAGTATTTGATTTAGACGTGTTATAAAGTAGGTTTGCTACTCGGCTTCTCTTCCTCGTCTGCTCTAGTGGTGGTTGCTGGGAGGGGTTGGTTAAGTGCAGTAGTATCTTCTTTGTCTTGAAGGAATTCGTAAAAAGCTGGTTTTATTCTGTCTATGGAGATTGTCTCCTTGTTCCCATTTTTGTTGATAACGAAGTATTTGCTTGTTCGTTTGATTACTTGTTATGGTCCTTCGTACGGTTGCTTCAATGGGTTTTTTAACTGCATCAACACGGACGAAAACAAACTTGCATGTTTCTAGGTTTTTGTCAAGTTGCACTCGCTTGTTATGTTCCCGAGGCGGTGTGGCTTTAATTCTATCCATGGTTTGTAGTAATTGGCTGGCGAAACGGCTTGGGTCTGTTGCTGTTGCTGGATTTGAGTCTACGAGTTGTCCTGGTAATGTGCGAGTTGTACCATAGACTAACTCAGCAGCTGTACACCCTATGTTCTCTTTGATTTTTGAATGGATACCTAGGAGTACAAAAAATAATGCATCGCTCCATTTTGATATGTCGTTTTGTGCTATCAGCAAGCGTTTTAGTTAGCACTGAAATCTCTCGACCAAGCCATTAGCTGCTGGGTGGTAAGCTGTGGTTTTAGTGTGGTTGACCCCTAGAAGTTTAGTGAACTCCTGGAGAAGGACAGAGTGAAATTGGGGACCACGATCTGTTGTGATTAGTGATGGCGCTCCATAGTTAGATATCCAGCGGTCGAGGAAGACTGAAGCGACTATTTCTGCCGAAGTGTCTTTTATGGGGCAGGCTATGGCCCATCAAGTAAACCTGTCTACTGCAGTAAGGATGTGCGTGAAAGAGTTTGATGGTAGCAGGAGCCCCACTAAATCTAAATGCACGTGCTGGAAGCGTTTGTCAGGGATAGGGAACTTCCCAATCGGACTGGAGGTGTGTTTCTGCTTTTTAATGCGTTGGCACTGGAGACAGCTCCGTGCCCAACGTTTAACATCCGAGTTGATTTTTGGTCACACGAAACGTTCGGTAGTGACCTTTGTTGTTGCTCTGATGCCTGGGTGTGAAAGACCGTGCAAGTGCTGGAATATTTTTCGTCGACAAGCGTGTGGGACGAACAGACGATTGTTGCCTGTCGAGGTGTCACAGATGATAAATGAGTCTAAAAAAGGAATCGGTACGTGTTTAAGTATCAAGTTAGGTTTCACTTGGCAGCTTTTTATTTCTGAGTCGTCTACTTGCAATTTTGCGACTGTTTCCAAATCGATATCCTGCTTACGTATCAGGGTATTCACATACATTCGTGATAATGTGTCAGCTACTACATTAGTGTGTCCTTTGACGTATTGGATATCTGTTGTAAACTGGGAGATGTAATCTAATTGTCGTGCTTCGCGTGGTGAATGTCGATCGTATGAAGTATTGAACGAGTAACACAAAGGCTTGTGGTCAGTCATTATAGTGAAGGTTCTCCCTTGTAATAAGAAGGTGAAGTGTTTAACGGCTAAATACATGGCTCGTAACTCTCGGCTGAAAGTTCTATAGC